ACGTTGATAAGTCGCGCCGGCATTCTTTAAACCGAAAGGCATGACTTTGTAGCAATAAGTCCCCCTATCCGTGATGAACGAAGTTTTTTCGCGATCTACAATGTTCATCATAATCTGATTGTACCCGGAGAAGGCATCCATGAAAGAGAGAAGTTGATTTCCAGCTGTCGCCTCAACCAGACGATCTATGTGCGGTAGAGCGAAACAGTCCTTTGGGCATACTTTGTTCAAATCAGTGAAATCGACCTAAACCCGCCATTTGCCGTTCTTCTTTTTGACGACCACCGGGTTTGCTAACCAATCGGGGTACTGGACTTCCATGATCAAACCTGCTTTGAGAAGTCGTTCGACCTCATCTTGGACGGCCTTTGCGCGTTCTGAACCAAGTCGCCGTCGTTTCTGTCGAATAGGTTTGAATGTGCGATCGATGTTGAGAGTATGACATGTTACACTGGGATCGACTCCGACCATGTCCTTGGTGGGCCAGGCGAAGGTGGATAATCAAGTTTTGAGGAAAGTGATAAACTCGCCTTTAATGTCATCGTCCAAAGAAACACCTATCCCAACCGTGCGAGAGGGATCTAGGTCGTCGATACAGACTTGGATAATTTTGCATTCCGGAGATTTGATCAGATCATGTCCTGTTTGCTGGAGAATAGGTGTATATTCTCCATCTTGTAATTGCTATGCAAATTCGTACTTTCGTTGTTTCTTCTCGATGATACAACACGTTCTAGCCATCTTCTGGTCGGCGAACAAGGTATGTATTCCTGCGGCAGTTGGAAATTTGACGTAGATATGATAGGTCGAGGGAACAGTCTTCATGGAATATAACCATGGGGATCCGAGTATGGCATTATAGATTGGGGGGCTTCAATGACGACGAACTTGGTGTTCTTCGTGACACCTCCTGCCCTAACAAGGAGTTTGTTGTCGCCTTGGGAAAGTTTGTAATTCCATCATATCCCGTGAGTGTTCGGGGATTTGGTTTGATGTGTTGCTCTGATATTCCCATTCGGGCAAGGGTTTGGAGAGAGATGACGTTGACAGAACTGCCGGTATCAATCAAAACCCGTTCAACGTCGAATTCGCCAATGGTGACTTCGACGACGAGGGCATCGTTATGAGGATGGTGGATTCCTTTGGCATCCTCTGGTGTGAATGTGATTGGATCGGTAGTTTTCGTATCATCATCGAGTGTTTAGATCGTGCAGATCTGACGTGCGCGTTTTTTGAGGGCTCTGACGGAACCGTTGCAGTCGTCGGGTACGGTGAGTATCATGGTGATTCGACCGCATGTTGGCGAATTCGAGCGTTCTGGTCGTTGTCCGCGCATCCGCTTGGGAAGACCAGGGAGATCGTCCTCTTGATGTTCCTCTTCCTGATTGTAGTTGCGTGGACCTCGACCGCCTCGCCCGTTACTACCTCTGCCTCCGCCACGACCCTGGCGATTCCTTTTACCGCGAAATTCTTTAGGTTGAAAAATTGCTTCTACTTCGCCAGACATGTATTCTTCGAGAAGGAAGTTAGAAAGATGTTTGCATTCTTCGGTTGAATGGCCGGAGACGCAGTGGAAAGTGCAATAGAGGTCTTTAGCCGAAGTCTGTTTCTGATCGCCTTTCTCTGCAATAGTGTTTATCAGCCCGTTTTTGGTGTCCTTGGGATCGTAATGTTTTCGAGGTTCATGATATTCGTCACGACCACGCTTTTTAGCTGTTTTTCAGCGATTCGTTCTCGATGCAAGTTTGAGAGCTTCCTCTTCGACGCGGGCGAAACGAGAGACGCGCTGTAAAGCGTCATCCAGATCTTTAGGGACTCTGATTGTTAAATCGTTTCGCACGGGTGAATTGGGTATCAACCCTTTTTCGAAGGCGGCCATGGCTGCATCATCCGGAATGGTTATTTTTGAAAGAACATTTTTGAACTTTGTGAGATGTTGGTTCAAAGTCTCGTCTTCTTCTTGTATGGTGCACCAGAGCTCGGCGCTAGAAGCGCCCGGCTGCAAGAAAATCCGGTAGTACTTGAGGAAAGCAGTGGAAAGTTGGGCGAAATTGTCAACCGAATTTGGTTCCAGGCATGAGAACCAACTCAAAGCGTTTCCGGATAAGCTTTCGACGAATAGTTGGCAATAACCAATATCTCGTTCTTCTTCGGAAAAATGAGCTTTAGAGGCTATGGCCATGAAGGAAGTCATGAAGTGCTTAAGATCTTTGTTACACTCATAGATTGGCAACTTCAACTTGACTTGTGCTATCTTGGCTTGCGTTATTTTCGCTGTAAATGAAGTTCGTTGAGTTTCTTGACCGTCGTCTCTTGGTAATCTGTTCGAGTCGGCTCTTGAAGTATCGACGTTGCGATCCTGGGGTGTAATAGACGGATTGTCGATTGCGGGCAGATCAGGATCGTGCTTTTCGCGACGTCCGGAGACGAGGTTTTCGCCATTGATCGAATCAGAGGGTGTATCCTCAAGAGGAGGAAACATGTTTTGGCCGTAAAGAAGATCGAGGTGTGAAGTTGAAAGGGGGTTTTCTTATGATCGTTCCCCACAGACGGCGCCAATTGTGGAAACAGGATTCACACAAGGGGATTTAACCGTGGTTTGGATAAATCCGATTGAAAGATGATCAGGTTTACAAGATCTAGAAGATGAAGAACCTTGGAGATGAAGAACTAGGGTTTCAATTAGGGTTTATTAGAAAGAGAGAAATTGGTGGATATGAGAGAATTGTGTCTTTTCTGTATTAATGTTTCAATCCAGCAAAATAAGGGACAAACCCCCCTATTTATATGAATTACAAGATATTATTTCCTAATATTATTAGGAAATCTAAACCTATTATGATTAGAAACTTGCTTTCCACGCTTCGTCGGCGATCCATTGGGTCGCGGCCCAACGGCCCATAGTCGAATGGAGATCTGGCCGGTATAATCGTCCGGTTCTTATCCGGTTAAATGTGGTTATGTCGTTGGTACCAAATCATGTACCAACAGTTAATCCTATTTCTATTTGAATTAGATAACTCATAATTCTTCTTAAGCTTTATCTTAAACTTAACCCAACTTGGTTAAGGTATCTTAGGCTTCAAGGTATGTTGAAGCTTATCAAACACTCACCCCCTTAAGCTTCAACTTGGACTCAAACATGTCTTGCACACCTATCAAGCTTCTCATTTTTCTAAACTTGATCTTTGCCAATGCCTTAGTCAAGATATCCGCATTTTTCTCTTCTCTTGGTATATGTTAAACGTTGAAAAGCTCTCTCTCAATACACTCTCATATAAAATGATAATGCTTATGAATGTGTTTGCTTTTATCATAAAATACGGGATTTTTGGTGAGTGATATAGCTGACTTGTTGTCCATATATATGCGAATTTCCTCTGTCTTTTTCCCTGAGATCTCACTAAGAATGACTTGAAGCCAAATCGCTTGACGTGCTGCTTCTGTTAATATCCAAGTGATGAATTTCCCATCCATGCGATGCCGCCAATCCAATCAACAATCATATGGTTTCAAGTCAAGCAACTGGTGAAAATACTTCATCAAAATCAATGCCAGGTTCTTGTATGTATCCCTTAGCAACAAACCTCGCCTTGTATTTGTTTATAATATCATCCACATTTTTCTTAATTTTGAAAATCCACTTATGACCAACCTTTGCTTCACTCGGTTTATCAACTAGAAACCAAGTCTTTTTTTATTGATTGAGGTGTTGAATGGTTCTCCCGCTCTCACCCACCTAGCAGTTGCTAGAGGACGTTTGCAGTTGTTAACGTTTGGCACCAATCATAAAAAACGCTCCGCACTGCTTCGGATCGCTCGAAATCGCTGCATTTCAAAAGCTCATTCCCGCAAGCGTTCGATGGAAAGTATCTAAAAATGGAAAATCTGTAAACTAAATTATATATTATCAAATCCTATATATATTCTCATTAATTTTCAAACAAAAATCATTCTCTCAATTTATTTTTCCAATATTATTAATTATTTATTTTTCACTATAAAATTTATTTGTTTAACATTTGAATAACTATTTAATATTTATATTTAGTAGTTATTTATGTTTTTATTATAATTACGTTTAATTTTAGTATAATTTTTAATAAATATATTTTACTTATTCTTTATTTTTAATAATAAGGTTTTTTATTAGTTATCAATCATATTATTTATCAATCATATTTATTTTTTGCATTTTAGTGGTACTTTGGAAAATTGTCCTTTAATCATCAATTTCATTTTGAGTTGTTTTCGAAAAATAAAACTAAAAATGGTATGTTTGGATTATACTGGTATTTTTTGAAATTGCCGTTAAATCAATTTCGTTTTGAGTTCTAAGTAGGTACTGAGCTACTCTCTCTTTTTTTCTGTCTAGGTACACAAATTGCATTGTGGCGAGTAAAGATTATGATGACGATGAGACGAGAACTTACCCAATTGAACTGAAGCAATTTATGGTGTATAGGGAAGACGAACCGAGCAGAAACTTTTACTACACGGAAGATATTGGAGATCTATGCATCTTCCTTGGCGATAGTGAATCCTTCTGTGTCTCAGCAAGCATGTACCCTGGACTCACGCCTAACTCCATCTATTACGTTCATTACTCTGGAGTTGGTAGGTACTCTATAAACTCTGCCAAGATCTGTCACATTGGCAGTTCAGTGGCTCTCAGTGGATTTCACCCTGCTGATCCTCCCATTGCTTAGGTTTTTTTTATCATCTGTTCTTTTAGTGAATGCTTTATATACACACACACTAAGGTGGACTCTAAATATATGAATTAGCTCAGTTCAGTGTCGTGGAGCGAGTTGTTACCATTGGATGGGAAACGAACGAGAACGATCTTACATTGCTAATTTTAACGAAATTTATGAAATGAAACATCAGCTCGCATACATTATTGTAACATGAAACAATGTAGTATATATGTTTATAAATTTGTGTGAATTCACTAGTGAAATGGGAACATATCTATGCGTCAATCGGAAACATCTGTGTCAATCAAGCATTGCCGTCTTTGAATCAAAACTAATTTTATCAGTGCTTTCAATAGTAATGCTGCTTTTAGTATGCAGAAATGTTACATAGAGAGAGTATCATCATCCTACCGGTAAGAATTCGCAATTATAACCATGAACATGACAGCAGGTAACACCGAGAATGTAGTTCTTATATATATATACATTCGCTGTTTAACTCTTACTCTTAAGCGGGTTTCAAGAATCAGCAATCATCTTAGGTGATTCGCCTACGACTTGTTCTTCCTTGTTTCTTTGTACGTCTTTTTCCACTGGAATTGGGTTACAATGGATCGTGTGTGACACTGGTTTCTCTAGCTGGAACAGCCTACAACCCCCAAGAACAACAAGCTTAACAAACTAAGGGAACATAAGCTTACTCGTAAAGTGGTGACTCGTGTTCCAACTAACGGTATGCCCCCATTTTAGGATATCTTTTCAAGCTTTTTTTGTCTTTGGTAATTACTAATTAGCATGCAAGATGAAACATATAGTTTCCACTAGTGTATCCATTCTGATGTGGATTTTTAATGGAGCAGGAAGAAATTCACTATGAAATTGGCGATAAGGGAAATAGGATTGCTTACGGATGCTTGCACAAGGTTGGGCACTGAACAGTTAGTGCGTACTTGCAAGTGGATAGCTCAGTGATCGAAGTGATCATTGCCCTGGTTTCTGCGCATACAAACCTAACCTGCGTAGAGAAATTTCAAGTATAATAAAATCGTAATGCAATGAGTCGAATGCAATGCAGAAAACTAGATTAGATACCTCGACTTCTCGAGGTGATCCAGTAAGATCACAGGTGGTCCCATTGGTGTATACATGAGAGTGATACCTGCAACAACAAAACCATAAGAGATTAGCTGAGATATATCTTTTGCTGCTATAATAAAGGTTATGTAAAACCTCAGCTTATACCTCTGAGATGCATCAGAAGCATCAGATACAGTTTGGTTAAAACCCGCAGTTGCCTCTGGGTCAAAAGTACCCAGTAAAAACTCTTGAACAATCTGAAGTGGTAGGATACAAGGGCCATAGGCATTAGACAGTGAGTGAGTGAGTGATTGTAGGATAAAAAGAAGAGAAACAAGTGATAAAGATAGAGAGAAATCAGAAAAAGCAAACCTTGTTTTCGTCATCAGTGTGTACTTGCCGTACATATTTCTCATGACAAAACTCATAAGACCACCAACCCTCTTGCTGCTCATATCCAAGGAAAGATTTAGTGCTAAGAAATTTTTGTTAATTAGTGAACTAGTTTTAGAAAATACTTACTCTAACAATGCATTTCTCAAGTGACTGAAGCAATTCATCAGGAGTCCTTAGCTTCACCTGTTTGTGTGTATCCATCATCACAGTACTAATATTCTGCTGACTAGAAGTCCATCCACTTGTTGCCTTTTCCTCCTTTGGTAAGTAACATAAAAATCTACCCCCATGCTTATCCATCATAACCATAGATTCCAAATTCTCACCCTATTAAAAACAATAATAGACTTCAAAACGCCGAAAAAGACCACAGAGGATCTCTATGTAACAACTATATACTCATTGTAACTAATGTCAAACTGCAAAAATAAGCTTCAAATGAATTAAAAAAATGTGATTAAAACGCCAATGCTTATCCATCATAACCATGGACTCTTGATTCAAAACGAAAAAATCAAAGAGGATCTCTATGTTACAACTAACTCTACACATTGTAACTGACTTCAAAGTGCACTCAAAAGCTTCAAAATGATCTAATTTGTGGTAAGAATCGCTCAAGCTTATTAACCATTACCATAGATTCCAGATTATGACCCTATAAACAACAATGTTAAAGATTCAAGAACGACAAAGTCAAAGAGGATCTCTATGTTAACGCTATATCTACTCACTGTAACTGATGTCAAAACTGCAAAAGTAAGCTTCAAATGAATCTTAATTGTGACTAAAAACGCCAAATCTTATCAACCATAATCATAGATTCCAGGTTATGACCCTATAAACAACAATACTAGAGATTCAAAATGAGGATCTCAATCTTATAACTATCTCTACTCATTGTAACTCAGTTCAAAGAACCAAACTAAGCTTCAAAATTATCTAATTTGTGGTAAGAACCCCCAAGCTTATCAACCATGACCATAGGTTCCATATTATGACCCTTTAAACAACACTACTAGAGAACCAAAACACCAAAATTTCAGATATTACAGCTATTTATACTCACTGTAACTCTAAATTGTGTTAAAAACCACCAAGCTTATCCACCATAACCATAGATTCCAGATTCCAGATTCTCAGCTTCATACAATGAGAATCATAATACAAAAATCACATAGGAACTCTATGTAACAACTATCTCTAATCACTATACCTAAGATCACAATTCAAATCTCAAGATTTGAGTTATTACCGGGTGAAAAGGTGAATCTTCAGGAAGGAACTCAATCTTGTACTTTGGTTCACGATTGTTTCTGCTGAATGTTCCAACTACACATAAGAAAAACATTGAATCAAAGCTTGAAGAGGCAAAACTCGAAATTTGATTGATGAAGTGATATAGACCTAGATGAGCTGGGAAGATCTGATCGGACCGGACATAGGAGATTGAAGACACTGCGACTATTACAAGACATAACACGATTCGCTTGATTCTCATTTTCCTTGTTAAGCTAAATTACCACCGGACGGTTACAGGCGACGGCGAAGTAGACGTAGACGATGAGATCGCTCGTCGCTTGTTATTTCGCTGCGGCGATGGTGTGTAATTAGAACGTCCACGTAGTTCATCCAATTAGAATTCGACACGTAGGTTATATAACCGAAATAAAATGTAATTTTGTTGGTTATCATTGTCGGAAGGAAATTTTACTAAACCAGGACTCATTGTACTGTGTTCTCGCTGAAAACCGGTTTAATTATCGGAAAATAAAAATGAGAAAAATATCATTAAATACGTGAACCGTAAACCATCAACTTTCACGCAGGCCATTTAAATCATATAAAGACATTAACTTACCGTTTAAAATAGGGAAAATTCTCAAAAAAACGTGACATATTTAATATTTGCCAGAAAAATACATGAATATTTTTCGTTGCCAGAAAAATACGCAAACTAATTTATAGATGATAAAAAATTCGTGAACTATTTCGATTTTCCAGTTTCCCACATATTATGGTCACGATTTTCAACAAAACTAAGACAACATTAAACATTGTTACTATTACAATTTCGTGAAGAAGTTTCGTTCTTATCGTAGTCATAATCATAACAATATCTCTCTTTCTTTATATTTTAGCTTTATCTTTCATCTTTGTTTTCTTATAGTTAAGTTTTTGTTATGATTAGAAATTTAAGAAAAATGAAAAATAGGCAAACGATGTTTATGATTATGTTAGTTTTGTTGAATATTGTGATCATTATATGTGGGAAACTGGAAAATCGAAATAGTTCACGTATTTTTTTATCATCTATAAATTAGTTTACGTATTTTTCTGACAACGAAAAAAGTTCATATATTTTTCTGGCAAATATTAAATAATTCATGTTTTTTTGGGAAATTTTCCCGTTTAAAATATGAAACAAAATTAACCAAGCCAAAACCAATATGTCGTAAGTCCGATAACGGAGTAATTAACATATATTAGTTAGGCGTTAATCTTTGTATCATCTCGGATTGGCCTAATATCATCTCCAAAATGATACAAAGATGAACACCTAACTAACACCTGTTAATTGTTCAGTTATCGGATTTAAGGACTAACACCCGTTAATTGCTCCTTTGTATCATCATAGAAGTTGATGGTTTAATTGGTCAAAATGACTCGGTTCATGCATTTAAAGATATTTTTCCTAAATAAAAATACCGTATTTATTTTTGAGTTATTGGCATTCAGAACCACTTTATGTATATGGTGTACTTTTAGTCATGTTAGACTAACAAGAATGTTTTACTTATTCAACACCCTCTTTTTCATTCCACATCAGCTTCTCTCACTTCCACCTAATCATTCAACACATATTCTAATTTTAACCTTTACAATGGTTTTGTTTAGTTAAATTCAACACTTGACCCCACTTTTTATTTCATATATTTTAATTTTTTTTTTGTTTTTTTTTTGTTTTTTTTGTTTATATGATTATATATTAATAACGATTAGCGAATATAATTTAAAAAAAATAATTAAAAGTTAAACGTTTTTCTTATTTTATATTCTTAATTTTTTTAAATAATATACAAAATAAATAGATTTCCATTATGAAAACAATTAAGTTACATAAAACGTAGAAAAATAATCGAATTGATAAAACAATTTTAGGGTATGGTGTCATTTTTTATGACGATAATACCCTTCGGTTGAGATGCTTTGGAGAAAAATAATCAAATTGATAAAACAATTTTGCTTAAATTATTAATTTTTTTAAATCAGTTTCTCCCTTCTTGTGTCTTCCTTTCTCCTCCTTTTACTCTTTTCTTTGTTGTTCTCATCTTAGAGTGTCATTTTGTGTATATAATATCAAAAAGTATCTATTTATTTTTATATAATACGTTATGATTATATTTTCTTTACATTTTAATATGCATATTGCTATAGTTTTGATAAATTTTTATTTTATACACTATTCATTTGTAGTTGAACATTTTTTCATTGATACATGGATTGTCAATTGCACTATAGTTTATAGCTATTTACTAGGTTTAGTCATATAAAAAATATCAAAACTTATTTAATCAAAGAATTTGTGTTTTGATAAACAAGCCACAAACCATAAACTCTATACTTTAAATCTTAGAGCTTAAACCCTAAATCATATACCGTAAACCAAAAACCCAAAACTCTAACTTTAAACACTAAACTTAGATGACAAAAAAAAAACACTAAACTCTATACATTAAACATGAATCTAAAACCTTAAACCTTGTCCAATTAAATTTAACCGTAAAACCAAAACCATAAATCATACATTACATTCTAGCCTATAAACATTTTAATGAACATCCCAGAATATCCACGTTATAGTAACCACATGGATATATATGGTCAACGTGTCTAGGTGAAAAGAGAAAACATTGGAAAATGATCATTGATAAGTGGATACTCAATTATAGTATTGTGTAACAACCCCGCGACATGACATCCTTATAGCGCTGCAGCGTATCGACCCTAACCTCTCATGTGGGCCCAATCTGCACAACCCTCTGGCCCGCATCTCTCTGGCCCACCAGGTATGTTATTGGTGCGTCTGACATTCCTCGAACCCAAGTCCTCACCTTTTAACAACCTTCCCACATGACAAGCTGTTACCAATTGAAAAGACCAAACCAGTTTTTTTTTTTTAATTCATTAATTAAAAGTCTCATACCCACTAATTAATCTAACCGAATTAACTTAACAATAAACCATCATGCACACCGGAAACATATTAAACCAACACCATTTAATCATAATATTAATAAACCAATTATTTAATAACCATAATTTACATCAGCAACCTAGCATGTCTCTAAACCATGTTCCAACAACAATTAAACATATCCATAAACATAACCACCGAGACCCTAGATCATCTTCCTCTCCTCGCCATGATTCCACGGATCACACTAAACAAATCCAGCCATCCAAATCAATCAAACACACATAAGAAGGGTTAAACATGCTTAGATTAGCCACAGTCACGCACTCACCTTGATATGGATTGAAAGAAGGACAAAATAAAGAGGAACAGAAAGAACAAGACCCTCCTTACACCACCAGCCACGAATCCAACCCTCTCCTTGCTAGAACTCACCAGAATTAGCCACATACACCTCCAGAAACCCTCACAATCCACTTCTTAAGCTTTAGGAGCAACCAACTCACAACCCTCTCACTCTCTTTTGTTTTTAAGAAGCGACAAAAGCCAAAAGTGAGAAATAAAGGCTGCTTCAACGAGTTTAAAGTCGTGCCTGGGCTTTCTCCAAACAATTCCAATTAAACCGACGGTTTGAAAGCTAAACCGTCTAACCCAATTTTGTTGGTGGCGATCGACACCCAACACTGGTGTCGGTCGATACCACCAAAATTTCAGACACGGGTGTTACAATTCTCCCCCACTAACATGGATTCGTCTTCGAATTCCTTTAACACCGTCCATCAGCCTAGGAGTCCATGCAACCAACTTCATAGTCCGCACTCCTACAGCTGACTCCTCTGAGGCCCCTATCTAATCAATATACTCACGTTTCTGACCCTATTTGCTCATATTCACCCACTTCCCCCGTCCACAGGTCGCAACCTATGAATCATATCGGCTCGTCCTCAGGCCTTTGCCTTAGACTACGGTATCCAGGAAGTCTCACCACTCCCTCCGCTCTCAGGTCGCAACCTTCAAGTCATACCGACTCACTCTTAGGCCACCAGCCTTCAAGCTACGGTATACGGGAAGTCTCACCACTCTCCTCGCTCCTAGGTCGCAACCTTCAAGTTATACCGGCTCACTATTAGGCCTCCAGCCTTCAAGCTACGGTATCCAGGAAGTATCACACTCGCTCTCGGGTCGTCACCCTTAAGCGTGCTCTCGAATCGTCATCCGAGACTATCACATAACACCCGAGCAAATAAGTATAACGCCCCCGAACATATCTCAAGGTTAGATATACCTCTCGTGGTTCCCCTATAGCATTGCAATGCTATACTAACCACAATCCTGAAACTTTCTAAAAATAGAATCGTCAAACCCGACACTTTCTATTTTTAGAAACTCACACATAATTCTCTTTCACAAGACACCAACAAGTCAAAAATCACCAAAACATAAAACTTACCATGGAGTCTCATTGAAGGCTCGAGAGGATAATCTAGGTCTCCATGCTCACACAATTGATTAAACACACAAATCAATCAGCATGCAATCCACATCATCATTTCTCATCAACAAAATTCACATATCACATTAAAAATCACCAATTTACACCCGCCCTAGAACCGTAAGGGCTCTGATACCAAATTGAAAAGACCCGACCAGTTTTTTTTATTTTCAATTCATTAATTAATAGTCCCATACCCACTAATTAATATAACTAAATTAACTCAACAGTAAACCATCATGCACACCGAAAACATATTAAACCAACACCATTTAATCATAATATTAATTAACCAATTATTCAATAACCACAATTTACACCAGCAACCTATCATGCCTCTAAACCATGTTCCAACAATAACTAAACATATTCATAAACATAACTACCGAGACCCTAGATCATCCTCCTCTCCTCGCCATGATTCTACAGATCACACTAAATAAATCCAGCCATCCAAATCAATCAAACACACATAAGAAGGGTTAAACATGCTTAGATCAGCCATAGTCACGCACTCACCTTGATATGGATTGAAAGAAGGACAAAACAAAGAGGAACAGAAAGAACAAGACCCTCCTTGCACCACCAGCCACAAATCCAACCCTCTCCTTGCTAGAACTCACCAGAACTAGCCACATACACCTCCAGAAACCCTCACAATCCACTTCTTAAGCTTTAGGAACAACCAGCTCACAACCCTCTCTCTCTCTCTCTTTTGTTTTTAAGAAGCGACAAAAGCCAAAAGTGAGAAATAAAGGCTGCTTTTACGAGTTTAAAGTCGTGCCTAGGGTTTTTCCAATCAATTTCAAATAAATCGACGGTTTAAAAGCTAAACTGTGTAATCCAATTTTGTTGTTGTCGATCGACACCCAACACTGGTGTCGGTCGACACCACCATAATTTCAGACACGGGTGTTACATTTGTTAATAGATACTTACTTCTGTTTAATCGTATAAAAAACATATAAAAAAACTATTTCATCAAGAATTTGTAGGTGGTATATAATTCATAATTAACTATCAAATTAAGATTTATTAAAAATCAATAAGTTTTATTTAGTTCAAAGCAATCTTATCTATTACACAATATCCACGAAAAATTGAACTAAAAGGACAAAATTTTGTGGATACAATACTGAAATAATATTTTATTCCTCCATTATGCACTCTAGTTTCTTACAACATGAAGTCCATTACTCATATTGATTAAATAGCTTCCTATGGACTTGAAACTTAAATAAAATAAAATAAAAACCTAAACCCGAAACTATATAAGTTAGGGTATAAGATTTAGGTTTTAAGGTATAGGATTTGGGTTTATGTTCTCTTGTTGTAGTTTTGAGTTCATAGGAAACTTTTGAGTTTATAATAGTAAAGAACTTCATGTTCTTGAATTAGGGATTTACTAAGATAATAGTAAGGAACTCGAAACTACACCAAGAGAACATAAATCCTAAATCTTATACCTTAAAACCTAAATCTTATACCCTAAAAACTATATGGTTTAGGGTTTAGGTTTTTATTTAATTTTATTTTAGTTTCAAGTCCATAGAAAACTAATGAGTCAATAAGAGTAATGAATTTCGTGTTGTAAGAATCTAGAGTATGTAGTGGAGGAAGATAATATTATTTCAGTATTGATAATGGTGAACAAAAAATGGTATCCATAAAATTTTTGTGGATATTGTGGAAGAGATAAGATTGTTTTAACATGTATAAATATTATTGACCTCGGAATAATTATTTATTTGATAGTTTACTATGAACTATTTACCGCCCATAGATTATTTGATGAAATAGTTTTTGATATGTTTTTTATCCAACTAAACATAAGTAAGTATTTACTAATAATACTGTAATTGATTATACACATATTAATGAACAATTGGTAAACTATAAATGGATAGTATATAATATAATATTTCATCTAATATATATTAATATGCATCTTAAAATGTACAGAAAAATAATCATAATTTATTATATGTAAGTAAATATACAATTTTTAATCATAATAACCTACCTAAAATGATAATAACAAAAGAAAGAATAAAAAAAAGTGAGAGAGAGGAAGAGAGATGAGAGACGAGAGAAAGGTGAAGAAGTGTAGAAATATGGTGAAAGGTGTTTGAGGACTGAATAGTCATTTAGTAAGCTGAAAATATACCTATAGGAAGAAGTGGGTTTTTGTGTGATAAAGTTTTGGAATAGTAGGTTATAGTGCTATTTTTCTATAATATATTAATAAACACACGACATATTAAAACACACAAACTTAATTAGTACAATCAACTTAATTCAAAAACAATAAAGCTTTTAAATCACACAGTAAAAGACAAATAACTTAATTAGTACAATAAATTCAATTCAAAAACAATAAAACTTAAAATCACACATAAATTAACTACCAAATTTTGTCAATATGTGTTTTACTAAATCTGCTTGCAACTCATGATTTACGTTTGAACCACGTAACTCAGATCTAGCACGCACATGATTTGCAAATGCAGGTAGCACCTCGGTCGAGAATGGTTGTGGTGTACTAGACCCACTTTCTTCAGATTGATCATAATCGGTCCAATGTTGAGCATATGTATCTCATTCATCCTCAACAATCATATTATGCAATATGATACATGACCTCATGATGATAGCCAAATCATCTATGTCCCACATGCGAGCTGGTTCATGAATTATTTTAAATCGAGCCTGCAACACTTCAAATGCATGTTCAATATCCTTCTGACATCCCTCTTGACATTGTGCAAATAGCTTGTATGGTTCACTCTGAGGAAGTCTAATTGACTTGACGAAAGTGGGATAAGAATGATAGCTTCCATCAGCTAGATAATATGCCATATTGTACGAACGTTGGTTCACAAAGAAGTTCACTCTTGGAGTATTTCCTTGTTCAACATCATCAAACACTAGTGAACGATCTAAAACATTTATATTGTTCAATGTGCCTGGAAACCCGAAAAATGCATGACAGATCCAAAGATCATGAGATGCAACTGCTTCAAGAATAACAGTAGTGGTTCCCTTATCACCTCGGGTATATTGACTTTCCCACGCCGTTAGACAATTTTTCCATTCCCAAGGCATGCAATCAATACTCCCAATCATCCCTGGAAATCCCCTCATCTTGCTAACATGTAGAATTCTTTGTAGGTCATCTTGAGTTGGAATTCTAAGATATACTTTCTCATACAATTGTATGATTCCTTTACAGAATCTTCGCAAGCACTCCAATGATGTAGTACCTTCTATTTTGATGTATTCATCGACAGCGTCAGCCGCAACACCATATGCTAACATTTGCATGGCTGTGGTACATTTAGCTAATGGAGATATACCTTCTTTGTTGGCTGCATCAACTCGATGAGTGAATTATTTTTCACTGCTTGATAGGTCCCCAACGATCCGAAGAAAAACATTTTTTTGCATCCGAAATCTCCGACAAAACATTGCATCGCCATATGTAGGTTGATCGGCAAAATAGTCTTCAATCAATCGTTGGTTTGCGGCTACATGATCTCTCTTTGATTTCAGACTGCCTTTTGCAAGCTTCAATATCAAAAGGAAAATCAGATGGATCCATTAATTTTTTTTTAGTAGGATGAGATTTGTGGTATTGTGGTACATTAATGAAAGATAGAGTCCTCATATATAAGTAATTGAGTGGTTGAAACCATTAGATTACGAAGCTGAAAATCCAAAACTCACGGATAAGGATTGGGTTGGATTGGATTCGATGTGATTCTCTCACAAGAAAGCCACAATTAGTCACATATTTTATTGTCGGAGAAAGAGCCAAATACACATTATTAAAACAGAAAGAGCCAAACATTATTAAAAGCGCAAGAAACATACACAAATTATTGATAAAGAAACAGACAAACACATTATTAAAGCAAAAGAAACATACACACATTATTAAAGCATAAGGAAACAAATTACAAACAGACAAGTGAAAACAGTTAATTTCCAAATAGATCGTCGCTCAACTTCACCATCAGTTTTTGTCATCGAGATATTCTTTCTGACCTAACTTCAAAAACATCTTCATCTTCTTAGATTCAGTTCTTTCTTTCATTAATTTGTTCGCCTCCTCTTGCCTCCACTCTTCAGTGACCACTTCCAAAGCTGCGCTTTTGCCTTTTTATCATTTTTTTAGTTGCATCTCTCCCCATTGGAGGAACAATAGATCCTACAGAGCTTGAGTAACTTGCATCACTCTCACGAAATCTCTTAGATCAACTGCTTCCATAGCCAGTATTGCCTCCTACAAACTACCATAATGTGGTTGATCACGAATAGCGTGCCATTCAGACATTAAATTGAATTGACCTTTAGAACTACTTGAATATAACTCATGCACTTTTGCCAATACATCATTCTCCGACCATATCCACTTTGTTGCATTCGCTTGGCATTATCATAGCACCAGTCCATTTGCCCAGTTTTTGGTACATGTAGTTGAAATGATTTCTGCATGAAACTCCATCAAGCGGTGGATGACATGAGCAATGCTCATTACAGCAGTCAGCAATTTTACCCCAATATACTTCTCCTTTTTGGTTTTTGCCACTAACGCTGTTAGTGCCATTTAATCCATCCACTTACTAGCACCAGATTTTGCTCAATGGTCCATTTAGAGTTTTTTCGGCGAGAAGGAGCTGAATCCTCTGCATTTGGAGTGACTTCCTGAACACCGCTCATATCACCAAGAGCCATTTGAGTTGAGAATTCGGGAAATTCAGTTAATCCAACGTTGTCATTACTCGTTGGAGTAGAAGAAAAAGGAGTTGTTTGAGAAGGATTTGCATCATTGGACTATAAAATGGAGGATAATTAGGAATACCTGAAGGCATGAAAAAATTTGGTGGAAATCCATAATTTGGTATATTTTGTGGTTGGTTGGAACACGGATTTTGAAGTTGATAATTGTTGGGATTTGGGTAGTTAAAATGGTAATTAGAAGAATTTTGGGTGTTAAATGGATTATTGTTGGGATCCATTTAACAAAATAATGAGGGTTTTTTCGGTGTCCAAATCAAATGAAACAAGTCTCTTTTTATAAAGTACAAAAAATGATAAATTTTCATTTAATAAAATAAATTTTAAAATAAATTTACTAAAGTATAAATGATTTACAATAATTTGGTAGAAAAAACCTAACAAAAATCTCTACAACCAATAGAAAAATAACACATATATTTATTTATATCTTAAATTATAATAATTATTTCAACCAATTAGTAAATGACACATGTCTAGTTTGTCCTCCCTTTCTAAGGCCATCATTATCTGCGTAAGCGTTTAGGTCTTCAGGCAATATTAATAGCCCAAATAATGAAAACAGTGTATTATTAAGGTCCATCCGCTTCTTATCGAACACTCGTTCGACTTTGATTCTTAAGCGACGTGGCACACTGGGAGAGGGTAAAAACATTGATTTTCTTTGGGTTTATAATTTTTTCTTTTGTCAAAAGAATGAACAATCCCAAATCGATTTTTTCCTCTTTCGAACCCTAGTTTTAGAGATAAACTCACCGATTTCTGATCTCTGCTCTGCCAAAGGAGAGGATTAAAACAACGAAAGGAAAATGAACTTGCTCTGAAGAAAAAGCTCATGGCAGAGCTTTTCTAAGTAGCTAAATTAGGTTTAATGAACCATGTCTATTAACATGTCTAAGTCTAAGTATCTTCTGTGTAATGAATAAGTTGTTTGTGTTATGTTCTTGTTTAATATCTATTCTAAGTATCTTCTGTGTAATGAATCAGTTGTGTTTTCTTTTTAATGAATCTGTTGTGAAATATGTGTAATGAATCAGTTGTGTTTTTTGTGTAATGAATCAGATGTATCTTCTGTTTAATGAATTATACAAGTTTTATGTATATTGATCAAGTTGTGTAATGAATCTGTTGTGCTATCTGATATGTGTTTGGATAGTATTGCATTAGTTGTATGAATCAAAATGAGATCCGAGAAGGTGATAATTATCTTGTGTATTGAACTGTATTGCTAAGTCATTCTGTTTTGGTAAGTCACTCTGTATTGCTAAGTCATTATAGCTTACTCATTGTGTATAGCCTAGTGAATGTGAATTGCTGGTTTAATCTGGTTGGTTTCTGGAATCATGTCTGCTAGGTTTAATCTTGTTGGTTTCTGATCATCTTCCTGTCTACTTGATTTGAACTTTTTGGTTTCTGGAATCATGTCTGCTTGGTTTGATCTTGTTGGTTTTCTGGTAATCTTCCTGTTTACAAATTCTTGAAATCGGTTTTACAAATGTGATACCAGTGTTTCATGTGATGATGTTTGTGATACAAGGATCTGATCTAATGTTTCTTGTCTCAATTCATAACTCTTATCTGATGTATGATGATATGTGTATGAATTGTATGAATGAAAATGAGATCCGAGAAGGTGATAAGATGTCTTCATCATACTTGGTATAGACATTTATGTTTAATGTTCATATCTTATTTCTTACTTCTGTATGATTGTTTTCAGGTGAAGCAATCAATGGGGCAAGATTATTCTTACTCTTGGGATTCATCAGACGAGCAAAGTCACCACAACACAGAGGACACTGTAGAAATGGAGACTGAAGCATACATCTTGATGGATGAAGGTCATAGTGCATATAACATGGTGGATAGAACTGAACCAGAGATTGAGGTTGGCTTCCCCAACCTCTATTATTGTGGTGGGCAACCTCTATTGAAGACATCTTACACCCGAAATGATCCGGGGAGAAAGCATGTGTCTGTTTCTGATTTTTGTTTCTAATTACATCTTACTTATGAGAGTTTCCAATAAATGAATGGTTTTGTGTTTCCCAGGTACTTCACTTGCGAGAATGTTGGTGATGGAGATATGCATCTGCACAAGTGGTGGAATGTGGCTGTGATGGAAGAGATGACTGAAAGGGCCAGAGTTGTAGCAGTGGACCTTAAAGAGATGAGAGAACAAGAGAGTAAAAGTGAGGAGAATGTTGTTAAGCTTCAGAAGCTAGTAGAGAAGTTGGGAGATGAGTTGCAGAGGAGTAGAGTAACATTAAGAATGGTTCTTGGTGTCAGCTTTTGTGTTTTGGCCCTTTTGATTTCAATAGTTGGTTTAAGTAGGATGTGAATTGTATTATGGCAAAGACTTTTGAGACTTGTTTGATGCTCCCTTGTACTATAGATGGTAAGAACAGTCTTGTTGCAATGAATCGATAGTTGTCACTTTATGAGTCACATGAATTTGTATTCTTCTGATAATTGAAAGTGAAGGAATCGATTATTGCAACTTTATGTGACTGTATTTTTTTGTTCTTTCTGTGTTCATATGATTTACTAGTCCACTACAAGGCCGAGTAACGAATCACATGTGTTTGTATGTTTCTGTCATGACATTCCTATATAATACGGGAATATTTTCAACACTTAAAACAGCACAAATCTATTATCATTTGCTTATGGTATACTCTCTCTCATTTCCTTTCTACTCTCTCTACTTTTTTAAAAAATCAAGTCAAGCCACAAACACAATCTATACTTTTTATATCGTTCTCTTCTCGTTCGTCCTCATCGACATTATATACTTTTTATAAATTTCTTCTTTACTTTTTATTATGGCTTCCTCGTCAAACAATTTTCATTATCATTATAACTCTAATAATGATGATGATTTTGACAAATATTATCAAGACCTATTTGATAATCAAGTAGATGCGATATTGGAAGATATACCACCGGAAAGAAAACAACGGACGTATATCGAAAGAAATCGGGAAAAAGGCCACGAACGTTTGTGGAACGATTATTTTTCTGATAATCCTACTTACCCGGATAGGCTATTTCGAAGACGGTTTCGAATGAACAAACCATTGTTCCTCCGTATTGTCAATCGTCTCTCAGCAGAAGTTGAATGTTTTCAACAAAAAAAAGATGCAACATTCCGAAATGGTATATCACCCCTCCAAAAATGTACTGCAGCAATTCGACTTTTAGCATACGGGGGTGGGGCAGACACTGTTGACGAATATATACGTTTTGGTCAAACCACGGCTCGTAAGTGTTTGGAAAATTTTGTCGTCGGAATTGTTGACTTGTTTGGCGATGAATACCTAAGGCGCCCTACAGAAGAAGATCTCGAAAGGCTACTTTATATTGGAGAACAACGGGGTTTTCCAGGGATGGTTGGGAGCATTGATTTTATGCACTGGGGGTGGAAAAATTGTCCAACCGCATGGAAAGGTATGTATTCTCGAGGAACCGGAAAGCCAACTATTTTTTTGGAGGCGGTTGCTTCACAAGATCTCTGGATATGGCACGCGTTTTTTTGGAGCACCACGTACTTGTAATGATTTAAATGTTCTTGATCAATCACCGGTATTTAATGACATTATACAAGGTCAAGCCCCTCAAGCAAACTACTATGTAAACGGAAGGGAGTATAACATGACTTACTATCTTACGGATGGTATTTATCTCGACCAGGCGACATTTATTCAATCCATCCGACTACCACAAACCCCGAAACATTCTTTGTTTGCAAAACGTCAAGAATCTGCACGAAAAGATGTTGAGCGTGCATTTGGAGTCTTTCAAGCAAGATTCACCATGGTTAAGAATCCATGTCTTCTATGGGAAAAAGGAAAAATCGCCTATATTATCAGAGCATGTCTCATACTTCATAATATGATTGTTGAAGATGAACGACATTCATACACTCTCTTTGACGAACAAGAATTCGAAGAAGGTGCCCCGGATATAACGTTTTCGAACAATATGGCTACAAATCTCGACGGTATAGGTGACCGGCGAAGAAGAATACGTGATAAACAAGCACATCACCAATTAAAAGAGGATTTGATTGAGAATATCTGGACGAAATTTGGACATCTTCCAAATGATTAAAAACGTTTATAAACTTTTTATCATTTAAATAAAATGTTAAGTGCTTTCATTTCTGTTTTTGTATCTTTTTAAGTTTATGTTTTTAATTTTTAAGTTTGTATCTTTTATGTTTCTAATTTGTATCTTTTTTTTGTTATATATTTTTCTTTTTATAGTTATTAAATTAATTAAAATTATTAATAAGTTTTACATTATTTTTTATTATAAATTTAAGAAACTACAGGTTCAACCAATAACTATATAATTTTGTTTGGTTCTTAAAATTAACTATTACATTATTAATATATTAAACATACACTAAGATGCATCTTTGGGGTTATGCCCATAATGATGCTCTAACCCATTCAACATTGATGAATCCACCTCAGCTTCTCTATTTTTTCAACGAGCCATTGCATGCTATTAAACTGTTGAATTTTTTTTTAAACAGGCCATTGTAAATAGTCTTACAATGGTTACTTTTTAAGCTGTTGAATAAATAATTCAACTGTTGAATCACTACAATGGTATGTTGAAAACAAAAAAAAAAAGATGACATGGCCACATCATAGTTGAATACTTTCAACACCGTTGAAAGCAAATAAAGTGGGTCTCACACGCCACATGGCAGATAATGAATGAATATGTTTTTTTAATTATATAATAATATTTAGATAAGGACATGTGTTCTGTTTTTATTGGATGCTGCTATTTTAGATATTTATTATCCAACCCTATTATTTGAGATCAATTATAACATATAATAATTACTTTTTTATTTTTTATACTAAAATTCATCATTTTCATACTCAATAAAAAGAGACTTGTTTCACTTAATTCAGATAGACAAAAAAAAAACTATATTTTCTTAAGTTGAGTTTGCAAAATAGTGTTGACCACTATACCCTCGACTTGTGTTTGCTTGGAGAAAAAAACAGCAGAATTAAATTATGGTTGAAGCAAGACTAAAAGCTAGAGAATTTTTCTTTTTTGTAATCGATTTTTCTCCCATTCTCTCTTTCTTTCCCTCACCTAGCCTTATTCCTCTTTTTTCTTTTTCCTTTTTTGTTATTGTCATTTTGGGTGGTTATTGTCACTTATATATAATAAGTTATGATTATATTTTTTTGCATTTTAAGATGCATATTGATATATTTTAGATGAGTTGTTATCTTATATACTATCCATATGTAGTTGAACATTTATTCATTGATAAGTGGATGTTCAATTACAATATTGTAATAGATATTTCGTTGTGCTTAGTCATATAAAAACATATAAAAACCTATTTCATCAAAAAAATTATGGTTTGATAAATAATTCATAAATTAATATCAAACAAAAAACTATTCATGATCAATAGGTTTTATACATGTTTAAGACAATCTTATCCATTATACGATATCCACAAAAATTTAAACTAAAACGAAAAACTTTTGTGAATATAATAATTCGTTCACCAATGTCAATACTGAAATTAATTTTTCTTCTTCCACTATTTACTCTAGTTTCTTACAACATGAAGTTCATTACTCTTATTGACTCAATAGCTTCCTTTGGATACCCAAGTCATTTGGTTAAGAGTAAACAGAGCAATTGCATAGCAAAACCTTGAGTTTAATGGATTTTTCCTTTTCTTTCATTGTTAATTAGTCATCATCCACAAAATCACGTTCATATGGATACCCGAGTCACCTGGTTAAGAGTAATCAGAGCAGTTGCATAGCAAAAAATTAGTTATTTGTTTGGTAGGTTCACTTGCATTTACTTTTGAGATATGGAGCTTACCATGAATCAGACCCTTGTCCCCTTCTTCTTGTTCGTATGAGGTTCTGCTATGGTATTATTTAGATCATTGAGGTTATACATGAGGATGAAGCTTTTCTCGATGAAATTGCAGTAGAGGCGAGTAGGAGTAACAAAGGAGGATTAAAAGATATAGCAACTTAATTTTTTGTTGGTTTGGATGATAACCAACAGAAGGAAATTAGCCAAAGAGAGGATGATGATTTGTTTGAAGACATTGGACACGAAGAATTGGGTGAAGGAAGGGGTATCCACTGAGCTAAATCCATGAGGATAATGACACATTATAAAAGTGAAAAATATAACATTTGAAAAATATATTGTATGTTTCCAAGAAAATAAAAATAGTTGAATGTCAAGGTCAAGGTGGCATCAACATGACTGATGTAATATACTTAGAATTAAAGTTTTGAAATTCGCAATGTATGCTAGTTTGTAAAGTTGGATATTGCGATTCAATAGACAATGTCTTTTCTGTGTTGATTTAAGGGTATCCATGACAATCTAGAGATCCAATCATTGAATATATGTATGATGTTTGTGCAAGGTTATGAACTATTTTTTATGGTTGATTTTAATACGTAAACCTATGCCACACCCACACATAGTGGTTATGAACATCATGATATTGAAAAAACACAACAGTGATTTAAACCCTAAATCCGGAAGAAAATAGAAATATATACCCTAAAACGTCAATGTATTCACATGGACGTATATACTATGGATGGATAGGCCATACATATGAAAGCACAAATAAAATTATTGTTCATCGATTTTTCTCCCATTCTCTCTTTCCGTTCGGTCGCGAAGATACAAGGAGGAAGAAGGTTATCTCACTTAGCAGATCTTTCTTGAGATGAATCAAGACGCGACGACTGAATCGATGACGAAGGGTTGTCGTGTGAATTCAGATCCCAAAACCAGATTCTCACCGTTGTCGGAAAAGATTCACCGGTGGGAGACTGAGTGTGAGCAGGCGGCGGTAGTTGGATTCGATTGTTCCGGTGGGGGTTGGAATCGGTGATTCCGATGGTGTTTGCGTTAGAAATTGGGGGATTGGTTTGATTTTTGAATTGTTTTTATTTTTTACTGTATTTATTTAAAAATAATGATCGTAAGAAAATAACACAATTAAGAAAAAAAGGAAACGCTGAAAACAAAAAGACTAAAAAGGAAGAGTTGAGAAACTAGTTAGATAGTTAGAGAACTATATCGACATTTCATAAGATACAAGTATAGCAATAGTTGTAAGTGGGTATACGTGTAATAAGAAGTTGCCAAAGTGGTTCTAAGTGTTATTATTTCTTTATTTTTTTAATTAGACGTTTAATACTTGGTCTTTTTTGTTGGAATAATAATCTCTAAATCAATAAAAACGTGTAATTTAATACCCAAAATATTTAATATTGTTAATTTCATACATATGTTCTCTTAACCAAAAAAAATATTCCAATTTTACCCTTATTCATTTCTATTTATTAGTAATACATAAATAACATGAAATTAATTTTGATTTTATTTTAA